ATTTTGGGTGGGAATTTGGGGATTTTTGGTGGAAATTGGGGGATTTGAGGTGGAAATGTGGGGATTTTGGGGTGGAAATGGCAAGATTTTGGGTGGAAATTTTGGGATTTTGGGTGGAAATTTTGGGGTGTTAAGTGGAAATGCTGGGATTTAGGGTGGAGATTCTGGGGTTTTGGGTGGAAATGTTGGGATTTTGGGTGCAAATTCTGGGATTTTGGCTGGAAATTTTGGGATTTGGGGTGGGGATTTTGGGTGTAAATTCTGGGATTTTGGTTGGAAATGCTGGGATTTTGGGTAGAAATGTGGGAATTTTGGCTTTAAATTTTGGGATTTTGGGTGGAAATTCTGGGGTTTTGGGTGTAAATTCTGGGGTTTTGGGTGTAAATTCTGGGGTTTGGAGTAGAAATGTGGGGATTTGGGGTGGAAATTCTGGGGTTTGGTGTGGAAATTCTGGGATTTTGGCTTTAAATTTTGGGATTTGGGGTGGAAATTCTGGGGTTTTGGGTGGAAATTTTGGGATTTAGGGTGGAAATTCTGGGATTTAGGGTGGAAATTTTGAGGTTCTGGGGCTGCCCTGACCTTGACGTGCTCGCCCCCACAGAACTGGGGCTGGCAGCGCGGGCGCCCGAACACCAGGATGGTTCTGACCACGAACGGGGGCGGGATGGTCTGGACATTGTCAGTGACAGGGAGCTCGATCTTCTGCTGGCTGGGACAGGGTGACATCAGGGTCAGGGTGACACCCACGGGGACAGGGTGACACCCACGGGGACAGGGACACAGACAGGGACAGGGTGACACCCATGGGGACAGGGTGACACCCACAGGGACAGGGTGACACCCACAGGGACAGGGACACAGACAGGGACAGGGTGACACCCATGGGGTCAGGGACAGGGTGGCACCCAGGCTCAGGGGACAGAGGGGTCAGGGTGCCACCCACGGGGACAGGGACACGGTGGCACCCATGGGGACAGGGACAATGGTCTGGACATTGTCAGTGACAGGGAGCTCGATCTGCTGGCTGGGACACCGGGGACAGGACAGGGTGACACCCGTGGGGACAGGGTGACAGTCATTGGGACAGGGTGACACCCATGGGGACAGGGTCACAGGGACAGGGTGGTACCCATGGGGTGAGGGACAGGGTGGCACCCAGGCTCAGGGGACAGAGGGGTCAGGGTGCCACCCTCTCCTGGCACCTCCCCCCCCCCCTGCCCCCCCCCCCCCCCCCCCCGGTGCTCACATGAGGTTGAAGAGCCCGTCCAGATCTGAGCTGGGGTCAAGGCTGGCACCTGGCACCTGTGTCACCCCCCGGGGACACCCGTGTCACCTCCCTGGGGACACCCGTGCCACCCCCCGGGACACCCGTGTCATCCCTCAGGGACAGCTGGCACCCAAGGGACCCTGGTATCACTCCAGTGGCACCCAGGACATCCTGATGCCACTCAAGGGACCCTGGTAGCACCCAAGGGACACCTCAATGCCACCCAAGACACATCAGTGCCACCCAGGACAACCCAATGTCACCCACGACATCCCAATGCCATCCAGGACACCCAAGTGACCCTGGTGGCACCCACGACATCCCAATGCCACCCCGGTGGCCCCGGTGGCCCTGGTGGCCCGGCAGGATACTGAAGGACTGGCACACGACGGTGTCCAGGTCGTAGAGGCAGCTGCAAACCTCGCGTGGGTCTGAGGTGAACCCCGAGAGCTGCGGGCACGGGGGGGGCACAGGGGTGGGGACAAAGGGGCACAGAAGATGGGGACAGCGATGGCACTGAGCTGGCACTGAGCTGGCACCAGC